CCTACCTGATGCCTACCTGGTGCCTGCCTGATGCCTACCTGGTGCCTGCCTGATGCCTACCTGGTGCCTGCCTGATGCCTACCTGGTGCCTGCCTGATGCCTACCTGGTGCCTGCCTGATGCCTACCTGGTGCCTGCCTGATGCCTACCTGGTGCCTGCCTGATGCCTACCTGGTGCCTGCCTGATGCCCTACCTGGTGCCTGCCTGATGCCTACCTGGTGCCTACCTGATGCCTACCTGGTGCCTGCCTGATGCCTACCTGGTGCCTGCCTGATGCCTACCTGGTGCCTGCCTGATGCCTACCTGGTGCCTGCCTGATGCCTACCTGGTGCCTGCCTGATGCCTACCTGGTGCCTGCCTGATGCCTACCTGGTGCCTGCCTGATGCCTACCTGGTGCCTGCCTGATGCCTACCTGGTGCCTGCCTGATGCCTACCTGGTGCCTGCCTGATGCCTACCTGGTGCCTGACCTGATGCCTACCTGGTGCCTGCCTGATGCCTACCTGGTGCCTACCTGATGCCTACCTGGTGCCTGCCTGATGCCTACCTGGTGCCTGCCTGATGCCTACCTGGTGCCCTGCCTGATGCCTACCTGGTGCCTGCCTGATGCCTACCTGGTGCCTGCCTGATGCCTACCTGGTGCCTGCCTGATGCCTACCTGGTGCCTGCCTGATGCCTACCTGGTGCCTGCCTGATGCCTACCTGGTGCCTACCTGATGCCTACCTGGTGCCTGCCTGATGCCTACCTGGTGCCTACCTGATGCCTACCTGGTGCCTGCCTGATGCCTACCTGGTGCCTGCCTGATGCCTACCTGGTGCCTGCCTGATGCCTACCTGGTGCCTACCCTGATGGCCTACCTGGTGCCTGCCTGATGCCTACCTGGTGCCTGCCTGATGCCTACCTGGTGCCTGCCTGATGCCTACCTGGTGCCTACCTGATGCCTACCTGGTGCCTGCCTGATGCCTACCTGGTGCCTGCCTGATGCCTACCTGGTGCCTGCCTGATGCCTACCTGGTGCCTACCTGATGCCTACCTGGTGCCTGCCTGATGCCTACCTGGTGCCTGCCTGATGCCTACCTGGTGCCTGCCTGATGCCTACCTGGTGCCTGCCTGATGCCTACCTGGTGCCTGCCTGATGCCTACCTGGTGCCTGCCTGATGCCTACCTGGTGCCTGCCTGATGCCTACCTGGTGCCTGCCTGATGCCTACCTGGTGCCTGCCTGATGCCTACCTGGTGCCTACCTGATGCCTACCTGGTGCCTGCCTGATGCCTACCTGGTGCCTGCCTGATGCCTACCTGGTGCCTGCCTGATGCCTACCTGGTGCCTGCCTGATGCCTACCTGGTGCCTGCCTGATGCCTACCTGGTGCCTGCCTGATGCCTACCTGGTGCCTGCCTGATGCCTACCTGGTGCCTGCCTGATGCCTACCTGGTGCCTGCCTGATGCCTACCTGGTGCCTGCCTGATGCCTACCTGGTGCCTGCCTGATGCCTACCTGGTGCCTGCCTGATGCCTACCTGGTGCCTGCCTGATGCCTACCTGGTGCCTGCCTGATGCCTACCTGGTGCCTACCTGATGCCTACCTGGTGCCTGCCTGATGCCTACCTGGTGCCTGCCTGATGCCTACCTGGTGCCTGCCTGATGCCTACCTGGTGCCTGCCTGATGCCTACCTGGTGCCTGCCTGATGCCTACCTGGTGCCTGCCTGATGCCTACCTGGTGCCTGCCTGATGCCTACCTGGTGCCTACCTGATGCCTACCTGGTGCCTGCCTGATGCCTACCTGGTGCCTGCCTGATGCCTACCTGGTGCCTGCCTGATGCCTACCTGGTGCCTGCCTGATGCCTACCTGGTGCCTGCCTGATGCCTACCTGGTGCCTGCCTGATGCCTACCTGGTGCCTACCTGATGCCTACCTGGTGCCTGCCTGATGCCTACCTGGTGCCTGCCTGATGCCTACCTGGTGCCTGCCTGATGCCTACCTGGTGCCTGCCTGATGCCTACTTGGTGCCTACCTGATGCCTACCTGGTGCCTACCTGATGCCTACCTGGTGCCTGCCTGATGCCTACCTGGTGCCTACCTGATGCCTACCTGGTGCCTGCCTGATGCCTACCTGGTGCCTGCCTGATGCCTACCTGGTGCCTACCTGATGCCTACCTGGTGCCTGCCTGATGCCTACCTGGTGCCTGCCTGATGCCTACCTGGTGCCTGCCTGATGCCTACCTTGTGCCTACCTGATGCCTACCTGGTGCCTGCCTGATGCCTACCTGGTGCCTGCCTGATGCCTACCTGGTGCCTGCCTGATGCCTACCTGGTGCCTGCCTGATGCCTACCTGGTGCCTGCCTGATGCCTACCTGGTGCCTGCCTGATGCCTACCTGGTGCCTGCCTGATGCCTACCTGGTGCCTGCCTGATGCCTACCTGGTGCCTGCCTGATGCCTACCTGGTGCCTGCCTGATGCCTACCTGGTGCCTACCTGATGCCTACCTGGTGCCTGCCTGATGCCTACCTGGTGCCTGCCTGATGCCTACCTGGTGCCTGCCTGATGCCTACCTGGTGCCTACCTGATGCCTACCTGGTGCCTGCCTGATGCCTACCTGGTGCCTGCCTGATGCCTACCTGGTGCCTGCCTGATGCCTACCTGGTGCCTGCCTGATGCCTACCTGGTGCCTGCCTGATGCCTACCTGGTGCCTGCCTGATGCCTACCTGGTGCCTGCCTGATGCCTACCTGGTGCCTGCCTGATGCCTACCTGGTGCCTGCCTGATGCCTACCTGGTGCCTACCTGATGCCTACCTGGTGCCTGCCTGATGCCTACCTGGTGCCTGCCTGATGCCTACCTGGTGCCTGCCTGATGCCTACCTGGTGCCTGCCTGATGCCTACCTGGTGCCTACCTGATGCCTACCTGGTGCCTACCTGATGCCTACCTGGTGCCTGCCTGATGCCTACCTGGTGCCTACCTGATGCCTACCTGGTGCCTGCCTGATGCCTACCTGGTGCCTGCCTGATGCCTACCTGGTGCCTACCTGATGCCTACCTGGTGCCTGCCTGATGCCTACCTGGTGCCTGCCTGATGCCTACCTGGTGCCTGCCTGATGCCTACCTGGTGCCTACCTGATGCCTACCTGGTGCTTGCCTGATGCCTACCTGGTGCCTGCCTGATGCCTACCTGGTGCCTGCCTGATGCCTACCTGGTGCCTGCCTGATGCCTACCTGGTGCCTGCCTGATGCCTACCTGGTGCCTGCCTGATGCCTACCTGGTGCCTGCCTGATGCCTACCTGGTGCCTGCCTGATGCCTACCTGGTGCCTACCTGATGCCTACCTGGTGCCTGCCTGATGCCTACCTGGTGCCTACCTGATGCCTACCTGGTGCTTGCCTGATGCCTACCTGGTGCCTGCCTGATGCCTACCTGGTGCCTGCCTGATGCCTACCTGGTGCCTGCCTGATGCCTACCTGGTGCCTGCCTGATGCCTACCTGGTGCCTACCTGATGCCTACCTGGTGCCTGCCTGATGCCTACCTGGTGCCTGCCTGATGCCTACCTGGTGCCTACCTGATGCCTACCTGGTGCCTGCCTGATGCCTACCTGGTGCCTGCCTGATGCCTACCTGGTGCCTGCCTGATGCCTACCTGGTGCCTGCCTGATGCCTACCTGGTGCCTGCCTGATGCCTACCTGGTGCCTGCCTGATGCCTACCTGGTGCCTGCCTGATGCCTACCTGGTGCCTGCCTGATGCCTACCTGGTGCCTGCCTGATGCCTACCTGGTGCCTACCTGATGCCTACCTGGTGCCTGCCTGATGCCTACCTGGTGCCTGCCTGATGCCTACCTGGTGCCTGCCTGATGCCTACCTGGTGCCTGCCTGATGCCTACCTGGTGCTTGCCTGATGCCTACCTGGTGCCTGCCTGATGCCTACCTGGTGCCTGCCTGATGCCTACCTGGTGCCTGCCTGATGCCTACCTGGTGCCTGCCTGATGCCTACCTGGTGCCTACCTGATGCCTACCTGGTGCCTGCCTGATGCCTACCTGGTGCCTGCCTGATGCCTACCTGGTGCCTACCTGATGCCTACCTGGTGCCTGCCTGATGCCTACCTGGTGCCTGCCTGATGCCTACCTGGTGCCTGCCTGATGCCTACCTGGTGCCTGCCTGATGCCTACCTGGTGCCTGCCTGATGCCTACCTGGTGCCTGCCTGATGCCTACCTGGTGCCTGCCTGATGCCTACCTGGTGCCTGCCTGATGCCTACCTGGTGCCTACCTGATGCCTACCTGGTGCCTGCCTGATGCCTACCTGGTGCCTGCCTGATGCCTACCTGGTGCCTGCCTGATGCCTACCTGGTGCCTGCCTGATGCCTACCTGGTGCCTGCCTGATGCCTACCTGGTGCCTGCCTGATGCCTACCTGGTGCCTGCCTGATGCCTACCTGGTGCCTGCCTGATGCCTACCTGGTGCCTGCCTGATGCCTACCTGGTGCCTACCTGATGCCTACCTGGTGCCTGCCTGATGCCTACCTGGTGCCTGCCTGATGCCTACCTGGTGCCTACCTGATGCCTACCTGGTGCCTGCCTGATGCCTACCTGGTGCCTGCCTGATGCCTACCTGGTGCCTGCCTGATGCCTACCTGGTGCCTACCTGATGCCTACCTGGTGCCTGCCTGATGCCTACCTGGTGCCTGCCTGATGCCTACCTGGTGCCTGCCTGATGCCTACCTGGTGCCTGCCTGATGCCTACCTGGTGCCTGCCTGATGCCTACCTGGTGCCTGCCTGATGCCTACCTGGTGCCTGCCTGATGCCTACCTGGTGCCTGCCTGATGCCTACCTGGTGCCTACCTGATGCCTACCTGGTGCCTGCCTGATGCCTACCTGGTGCCTGCCTGATGCCTACCTGGTGCCTGCCTGATGCCTACCTGGTGCCTGCCTGATGCCTACCTGGTGCCTGCCTGATGCCTACCTGGTGCCTGCCTGATGCCTACCTGGTGCCTGCCTGATGCCTACCTGGTGCCTACCTGATGCCTACCTGGTGCCCAGCGGGTGCCCACCGAGCGCGCACCTGGTGCAGGATGTGCAGCATGGAGCGGTCATACGCCCACTTGAGCGCCCTCGCCTCCTGCACGTGCTGCTCATACCCCTCCACCCTGAGGTCCTCCCGGTACGCGCGCCCCACCTCGTCCACGCCCGGCCACCGCAGCCACGTGCGCCCATCCTCCAGCACCGCCACCTCGCCCTCCCACCCAATGCCCTCCCCCGCCCCCTCCCTCCCCTCCCTCCCCTCCCTCACCAGCCGCGCCGCCTCCTCCTCCCGCTCCCTCCGCTCCTGCGCCATCTCCTCCCCCCCCACCCCCTCCTCCTCCGCCACAGCCGGCACCACGCGAGGCAGGTCATCATCCTCATGCACCACAGCAGTGTCCTTCACCTCGCGGTACAACCGCCCTAGCACCTTATCGGACTCGTACGTCTCCTTACTGGCGCCCTTTTCCATGAAGTCGGGGTACTCCTGCACGCGCAGGTCGCGCGGCATCTGCCCCGCCACGCCCGTCTTGGGGAAGTCGAAGGCGATGGCGGCCTCGCGCGCCAGGCGCACGCATGCGGGGTCGGACGCCTGCTGGGGGGAGCGGTCCGCGTGCACCACATGTGCGTTGCAGATGATGCCCACGCTGTCGTTCAGCATGTGGTCCACGAAGAACCGGTGCACGTCCTGGTGGGACGGGTTGCGGCACAGCAGGGGGGAGGGGAGGCACTAATGAATGCAAACACCAGAGCCTTTGAGCAAGCTAAGCATGTGGTCCACGAAGAACCGGTGCACGTCCTGCCATGCGCCGCGGTGTGATGGGCACAGGCGTGGAGGGGAGAGGGGAAGGGCGAGTAAGTTGGGTTGGGTTGGGTGTGGTTTTAGGAGGTGTCACAACAGAAGAGCTTCTTAGAGATCCACAAGCAGGTCATTTGAAACAGGAACCGGAGGTACCTCAAGAGCTGTATCGGGTGGATCCATGAACAAGACAAAAGAGCGTGACAAAGTGGGTAGGAAGCCACAGAGCCCCACCTTCATGGTGACAGCGGCCTTGCCCTCCTTCTTCACCGGCTGGTAGTCCATGGGGTCACTACTCCGCCCCGAGGGTGGCATGAGGCGCGCGTCCCACGTGACAAAGTACACGTCCCCGTCCATGTCACTGCCCGACGCCTCGTTGGCGTGTGGGCGCGGGCCCTTCTTAGGCAGCACGAGGCAGTCCACGAGATGGTGCAGGCACGGCACGTCCACGGCTGTGAGCACACGCAGGTCCCCCGGGTGCAGGCAGGGGTTTTTGCCGAAGATTATGGGGCCTGTTATCACTTGCGGCGCTCCCAGCCCACGCCCCGTGCTGTGCACCGTGGGGGCCAGGATGGGGGCTTCAGGGGAAGAGGCGGGGTTAGATGGGGATATGGGTGCTGTGGTGTCGCACACTTGGATGAAGCATTGGCCGTACTGCACACAGGGAGAAACATGCAGGGGAACATACAGGCTTGAAGCAGCATGGTGGGATGCCTTGGGCGAAGCTTGTGAAATAGACAAGGATAAAGAGCTCGCATGCAGTCATAGAATGGAGTTCTTTGTACTTTCATCTCTTGCACGCTCAGTCATTGTCAAAGCTATCTTACCTAATTGCAGCTCATGCCACAAGGATAACAGACAATAGAATGGACGAGCAATGCATGGAAAAAGAAGGGACAAGAGACCCCCAGAAAGCTGAACTGAGAGCGTTGAGGGAGAAGCCAAGCCCACATTAAGAAAAGAAGCGCTTGGGTCAGTAAGTGACGCACTCCTGCAATGGGTCAATCAGTGCTATTGCGACCTGCCACTCGCTCACAGCATGGACCCTCACACGCTCTCGTCTCTCACTCAGCAACTGACCCCGCGCACCTGACCCCGCGCACCTGACCCCGCGCACCTGACCCCGCGCACCTGACCCCGCACACCTGACCCCGCACACCTGACCCCGCACACCTGACCCCGCACACCTGACCCCGCACACCTGACCCCGCACACCTGACCCCGCGCACCTGACCCCGCACACCTGACCCCGCACACCTGACCCCGCACACCTGACCCCGCACACCTGACCCCGCACACCTCACCTCCAGCAGCCCTGTCTCGTCCACCACGCCCATGAGCCACCGCCCGTCCTTCACGAATATGCGCGCCTTCGATATCAAGCCCTGCAGCTGCAGCGACCTGCACACACATGGATGGCGGGTGTGTGGCGCGGAGAAGAGACATTGAAAAATGGTTGACGTCATGCGTGCGTGGCAATGTGGGCACATGTGGATGATGGGGGCTGTTAGCAGGTGAGTGATCAGATAAGGGAGAGGCATGAGCAACGGATGGAGGTGATGGAAGAGCAGCACACTGCACGCATTTCTCTAAAAACAACCGCATGCAACAACCGCGTATTACCTCACGGCGCGCATCATGCGCTTGAGGTGCGGCTCGCGGTGGGGGTGGAAGCCGGCGGACAGCATGGTCATGGCAACGTTGTACAGGTCGTCCGCACACGACTCCTGCAGCAGCTGCAGTGCTGCCTGCCGCTCACTCAATGCCCGGTCCAACTGCTGTAGCATGGCGTCCTGGGGGGGCATACGCGTGCAGGCGGGCAGGGAGGAGCAGGGAGGCATGTGCGGTGGAAGCATGCGAGGAGGGGCATGGAGTGGAGGCTTGCAGTGGCTTGGGCAGGACTTCATGCCAGGGTGAATGAACCCATGCATTGCATTGCTGGTGAGGGAGGAGATGTAAGGAACCCAGCTGACTTTGCTTAAGATGCATGCTGATGCTTGGGGTATGGGTACATGTGTGGATGGAGAGGCATGGGGTAACCAAACCAGTGGGTCAACTGGCAAAACATGACTGGAGGAGCGGATAAGGGAAATCCAATAACAGTGCACACGACGGGCTTGTGACAAGCAAGTAGCAGCGGAATGGGTGGGTGTGCAGAGCAGGGAGCAGGCGCGCACTGACCTGCATGTGCAGGAAGACGTGGTCCTGCACGCCCATGGTGGCCAGCAGTGTGATGATCTGGCGGTTGAGGAAGCACGGCAGGGGGCGCGTCCAGTTCACCACCTCCACATCCGCATGCTGCGACTCAAACTTATCCATGCTGGGTCGGATCCACATGTGCGTCACTGCTGCTGCTGATGCTGCTCCTGATGATGCCGCTGCACTGCCTTCACGCTCTGCTGCCAAGCCTGGGCGGGCATCATTCCCTGCAGCAGCATCCACATGTGCACCACCACTGTCACTAGCACGTGCGCCCTCCCCTGCATGCATCCACGAGTCAGTGGCATAGTCCCCTTCGTGGAACATCAGATTCACCACCTGTCCCTGCTGCACGCCACTCAAGTCCGCACCACCCATGGCACTTGCACCCCTGCTGCCATTGCTGCCGTTGCCACTGGTGTGCCTGTGAGGCTCTGCCTCATGCTCTACTTGCTGCATGACCCAGCGCGGCCACACAGTGATGACCCCCTTCACCCCCGCATACCGAATTTGGAACGCTGATGGCGCGCGCAGCAATGCCCTCCCGCGCTCCACCACACCTCCCGTCTTCCCTTTTGTCCCACTGCTGCCTTTCCCACTCCCACTCTTACTCTCCTTCTCATTCCCAATCTTACTCTCCTTCTCATTCCCACTCTTACTCTCCTCATTCCCACTCTTACTCTCCTCAATCCCACTCTTACTCTCCTTCTCATCCCCACTCTTACTCTCCTTCTCATTCCCACTCTTACTCTCCTTCTCATCCCCACTCTTACTCTCCTTCTCATTCCCACTCTTACTCTCCTTCTCATTCCCACTCTTACTCTCCTTCTCATTCCTACTCCCACTCTCCTCATTCCCACTCCCACTCCCACTCCCCTTCTTGTTCCCAGTCCCACTCCCCTTTTCAATCCCATCCCCACTCTCCAATTCATTCCCACCTCCACTCTCCCTCTCATTCCCACTCCCACTCCCCTTTTCATTCCCATCCCCACTCCCTTTTGCATTCCCAACCCCACTCTCCTTCTCATTCCCACTCTGAATCTCCTTGTTCCCACTCCCACTTTCCTTCTCATTCCCACTCCCACCCTCCTTCTCTTCCCCACTCCCACCCTCCTCTTCCCCACTCACACCCTCCGCAGAACCACCCCCAGCATCACCAACACCACCAGAACCCCCCTCTCCAACGCCTCCCCCACTCTCGCCACCACCACCATCACCCTCCCCGTCACACATCCCACCATCAGCCTCGCTCCACCCGTCACCCACGGGCCTGTCAAGGTAAGGAGCAATGGCGTCTGCCAGGGCCTTCCCCACCTCGGGCGATACTGCACCCACACCGTCCGTGAAGCAGAATGTGCCGCGCGTGACGTCGAGCAGCTTGCGCACGTGGGCGCGCGGGAGGGGGAGAGAAGTGAAGCGCGAGGAGAAGCACTGCCCCATGCGAGCCGCACACTTGGCCACGTTGCGGATGGCCGAGAATGTTCCCATCCACGCCTGGTGGTGCGGTCGTGGTGGCAATGGAGGGAGGAGAAGGCACGGTGATGAAGCGCGCGCCGCAGCACCGCAAACAGCAGCCAGAACACTCAAGGCAGGATTGACAAGCACGCTGCACCACTGTTTCCGTCACCCTCATTCCTAACCTCCCATACAGTAAAGTCAGAGGATACCCTGGCCCTGCCCACACCAACCCAGTCCTCGAGATTACCTGCACGACAGCACCTCCCCTCCTTTGTGTGCAGCACATGACAGCACGCACCTGCACGGAGGCAACGGAGAGGCCGAGCTTGTCATCCTCCGCCAGGAACCACGCTGACTTCTCCCTCAGCTGCGACGCTGATGACGCCAGGAAGCAGTAGTGCCGCCCACACAGGCTGAAGCCCTGGCACAGAGGCCACGCCAGGGGTGCAGGTGGGGTGGGGTGAGGGGGGGGAGAGAGGAAATGGAGGGAAGGTAACGCAGGAAAGAATCGATGGACAGTATGGTGCACAAAGACTGGGGGAGATCAAGGAGGAAAGTACTTGGCTTTCGTGGGGTGAACGGTGGTGGGGTTGAACAGGAGGGAAGTCACATATGTGGAAGGGTAGGATAGGAAGGAGCGCAGCACACAATAGCAGCCCCGCTTCAGCAGCCCCGCTTCTCCGTGTGCAGCATGCACCATGAACCCTGCAACGGACCCATATGCACCGGACCCATGTCACCATGACCGAACCAACCCCTCCCTCCCTGCCTCCTCGCACACGCACGCAACACAACAGGCAAGGCAACCAGGGCAGCACGTGGCCCTCACCTCTTCCACGAGGCAGAGAATGCGGCGGTACACATCGGTGTGCCCAGCACCGCCCTCGCGCCGGCCAGCGGCGTCCATGAGGGCGAAGGAGGGCAGGTTCTCCAGGCCCTCGTCCGTGAAGGTGACGCGCAGGAAGCGGTGCGCGTGGGCGCGGTAGTGCGTGAGCACGCGGTTGGTCAGCTCCACGCCCGGCATGCAGCACTGCGCGCCCAGCGGTGTGATGAGCACCCGGAACACCAGCACGTGGTTCGCTGGTAGCTTCCATGGCCACGCGCTGCTCTCCCCCTCACTCAATTCTCCTGCCTTCTCCTCTGTTGCTTGCTGTTCTTGCTGCGGCTGCTCGGGCTTTCCCACACCTGGCCCCTTCTGCTCCTCTCCCTTCTCCCTCTGCTGCTCCCCCGTCCCCTCTGGTCCCTTCTCCCGCCCCTTGTCCGTGCCCTCCCGTGCCTGCAGCTTGCCGTGGTGGCGCATGGCCCGGGCAATTTGCCGGAACTTCCGGGCGGGGTGGAACTCGGGGCGGGAGAAGCGGAAGAACTCGATCAGCACTGCCACCGCAGCGGGCACGCACTCATACGCCAGCGTGCGGTACAGGGAGGCGGTCACGGCAGTGGGCGGGATGGTGCCCTGCTGCACCAGCGCTGTCAGCAGGTACAGCACTGGGAAGGCGAGCACAACAGGCACCGCAGACTTGCTGTTGCTGCCGCCGCTGCTGGTGGTAGCTTTGGCGTTGGTGCTGTCAGTTGCGGTGGTGGCGGTGGTAATGGGGAAGCAGGAGGGGTCGAGGGAGATGAAAGGGGCGAGGTGGATGGGCGGGGCAGCAGTGTAGCGGGCGGTGATGGCGACGCGCTGTGGGTCGCCCAGGTAGCGCGCTCTGAGATGTAGCGATGCGGTGCGCATGTGCGCTGCTATGCGCCGCACATGGCTGCCCCGCCGCACCGGCACCGACACCTGCATCACTGACGCCGCCCCCAACACCCCTCCACTCCACACCCGCCCCTTCCACCCACTCCCACTCACACCACCGCTTCCACTGCTACCACCCCCACCGTCCCACCGCCCCGCACCAGCACTCCCCCCTCCTCCATCATCCCCCACGCCCACACACGCGCCTGCTGCTGCACTTGCACCGGCGCCCGCCCTCCCACCAGCAGGCAAGAAGTTTTCATCGGTGGTGCGGGTCCAGGGGTCGCCGTCATCAGGGAACCAGCTGTCGGGCTCCAGCTGCCACACGTCGTCGTCACACGCCTGCGAGAACACCGCGGGCGGCACGAAGAGCAGCAGCAGCAGCGAGGAGGTGAGGCCGGGCCCGTCCGTGTCGCGTGTGGTGCTGTCCTTGGTGCCCCACAGGCGCACGTCCCGCATGCGCCACTCCAACTTGTACTCCACTCGCTGGAACGCCAGGGGGATGGACGAGAGAGCGGCACCAGCAGCAGCAGGGAACGACGCACCACCTGCATCCTCCCTTGCACCTCCCTCCCCCCCTGCCGCGCGGCCTCCCCACCCCACACCAGCCCTCCCCCGCTCGCCCGCCCTCTCCTGCACCACCACGCGCACGCGCCTCTCCAGAAAGTCAAACTCGACCCGGCAGCTCTCGGGCTTGGAGCGCCACGTCAGCGCGAGCTGGCCGGGCTGGTGGACAAACCCGAGGTGCACGGTGGAGTGGAATAGCAGCCCCTCGGGTGCTCTCCTCTGCTCCATGGTGCGCTGCAGCCCCAGCTGCTGCCCCTTGAGCACCAGCGCCTCCTCCCTCGCCATCACAAACTCCGCCACCTCTGCTGTCAGGAAATCCGCGTATCCATACCCTGCTGACACCCACTCCTCACGGTACCGCGTCCCCCCCACCACTGCTCCCTCCCCTGCGCCTGCTGCTGCCCCTGCTGCGCCTGCTGCCCCTCCGGCGACCCCTGCGCCTGCTGCCCCTCCGGCGACCCCTGCGCCTGCTGCTGTGGCTCTGCCAGCAGGCAGGGCGCGGATGCGCGTGTACCCCTTGATCTTCACGCGGTCCACGGTCACGCGCAGTGTGTCGCGCACGAACGCTGCCACGGTCTCCGCGGACGTGTCCGGTGGAATGCGGTCTATGCGGATCTGAGCTGACGGCCTGCGACTGCTGGGCCTCTGACCGCCGCCCCTGCCGCTGCTGCCTCTGTTGCTAACCCCGCTGCTACCAGCAGCTCTGCTGTTACTGTTGCTGCCACTGTCGGTGGTAGGTCCAGTGGTGTCGGAGGGTAGATGGGCGGCGGCAGCAGCAGAAGCAGCAGCAATGGACGAGCCAGCGTCACTCTCCACTCCCTCCCCTCCATCATACCCAGCGCCACCATGCACAGCAACGGGCCCAGGGGAGCGCAGCGCAGCAGGCCAGCCCATGGCGTGCACATCAGCAGCGAACGCCGCAGCAGCAGCGGGGCCGATGAGAGACACGAGAGCGGCGTCCAGGTGACTAAGGTGCGCGCTGCTGGCCCCACCGCCACCGCCACCACGCATGCTGCTCGTCACACCACTGCCCGTGCTCGTGCTAACAGTGCTGCTGCCCCGCGGGAGAATCATGGCGCCCGCATGCGCCCCCCCCGCGCCCTCCACACTCGCGCTGCTCTCGCTCCCTCCCCGCCACCTCCCGCTGCCGCCCTCCCCACCGCCGCCTTGCGCTCGGGGATCCGTCCGCGCGTCTCTATTGCGCCAATCCGCGCCTTCCCGCGCATCCCACCGGCGCGCGGAGAATTCTTCCCGCGCTGCCAAGCCTCCGCCTGCTTGCGCGCTCCAGTTCCGCTGAGCCCGCCATAAATCATGCCCGTCTGCACGCCCGCTCGCATGTCTGGGGTCATGCATATACTCATGGCTATTCGCGTGCCTATGCGCATGCCTGTACTCATGCCTAGGCTCGTGCCCCCGCCCTTGCCGCTCTCGCGGCGCAAGCGGCTCCGCGGGGTCACGCCAGTGGGCGTGGCTGCTGGGCTCGCGGGGAGGGGCGAAGCTGGTATTTGCGCCAGCGGGACCTGCAGCGGCGGGCGCCGCGCGTCGGGAGGGAAACGCGCGGTCCACGCTCGCCGTGGCCGCCGCAGCTGCGGCAGCGGCGGCAGCGGCGACGGAAGAGACAGAGGATAGGTGGGAAGAGTGCGCGAAGGGGAAGGAGCGCTCGGGTTCTGCTGACATGGTCCCGACGGGTGCACGCGTGCAGTCACAGACAGGCGACGAAGAGGAGTAAGGGAGACACACAAGGGAGGAGAGGAGGCGAGGAGCAAGGAGTAGGTATTTTGGAGAAGGTATTTTGGTCCTACCAAAAGCTGCTGCTCTTCAGAGACGGGAAGGCAAAATTGCTGCTTTCGCAGCACACGAATTCGTGGGCGAAGTATTTCATCCTCGCTTGGTTGTCCTAGGAACGTTTTTATGGGGTAGAGTAAGGGTGCGTTTCTATCCCGTGTCAGACATCAAGTCATGCGGCCTTACTCTCCAATTTGTCTCTTCCGAACTTCCAATCGCCCCAAAAACGAGCCACTTCGGGTCTTCCGAACCTCCACTTCGTGTCAAACCTAATGTCTGACACGGGATAGAAACGCACCCTAAATAAAGGCACTGTTCTGCAGGCGTTAAATTTCCAAAAAGTGGGTCCGCATAACCTCCCCGATAAGCGGGATTCTGCCTATCAAGGTTTGGTGATAAGCGCGGTCTTGCCAAACCTGCTTGCGCCAAAATTAACGCTTCTACCTGCAGACACCAGTGATGTGCCCCACCAATTTAAAGCCCGAGTCTAGAATGGTAAGGGTTCAAGTTCAAGATTCTTGAACTTGAGTTCGTCAAGAACAGGGTAACCAGGTTGAGAAAGCTTCTCCCTCGCGACCCACCGAGAAGGAAGTTGGTGGGCCAGAAGGTGATTGGCCAAATGCTCCACAGCAAAACAGCGACGAGCCTCGCCTGGAACAAACAAAAGCAAAACTCAGTTCGTGTCCGTAGGGTTGACATGTCAGGTGAGAGCGTGTCAACCCGAAGCGTTTTCAAATTAGAGTGTCAAGCACTGTAGCGGAAGTGTCAAGACGAAGCGCAGGTACGAACATCAGCGACGCAATTTCATTGGTTTGAGAATCTGTCATGGCTAGATCTGCTAGGCAACGGCAACGATCAATTCAAAAGACATATTGTGTGCTGATTGGGCAGCATCTGGTCGTGCGATAGGCACCTGCGACAATCTTCTCTCGTTTGTAGGTTTGTCTGTGCGATTTTCAAAAGTGTCCGACGATTTGTATTGGCTGGCAACCTGCAATTTCTTGACACTCTGCCAACAGTTGGCAGAGTGTCAAAATGCCAAGTTGACACTGCCCACTTTGACATGTCATCCCTACGGACGCGACCTCACTGTTCACACTTTAAAACCCGTAGGCCAAACTATTCAAGCTTAGGAAGGTTGGTTGGGAGTGAGGACAATATTCGGCCGCGAGCCAATAGGAGTGTCGAAAATGTTGGCCTAGGTCTCAGAAATCGGGAATCAGCACAGGCGTTTTTGGGACACCCAACCAACATTAGGAAGGATGAGCCGAAATTGGCCTTCTTGGCCCACGGGTTTTAAGAACTTGAAACTCGAGAATACCTTTCTAGACTCGTAGCATAGTGGGCTCCATAGCCCTAGTTCTCGTCATTAGCCTAGCATAGTTACGCCCATCCCCGTACTATGCTAAGACAATAGTAGCACATAGAGCCCGTCGACTTTTCCGCGCATAACAAGTACGATCTGGTAGCCAACAGCAAATACAGAATGCCGCCTCGATGACCGCCGTAAGAACCAGTCGTCGCCACTGACGGTTATATCGCGTTAGCCGTCACGCGCATAGCCAATAGCAAAATCGGCTATGACACCTCGACAGACACTCCCGTCCTACACTCAATCCTGTCGTTCACAGACTGCTGTCGCTCTCCCGCTTCCCGTCATCCACACTCGCCGGAGGCACATATCACTCTCTCAATCCCGTCGCTCACTCACACCCGTCGCTCACTCAATCCCGTTGCTCACTCACACCCGTCGCTCACTCAATCTCGTCGCTCACTCACACCCGTCGCTCACTCACTCCCCGTCGCTCACTCACATCCGTCGCGCCTTCATTACCTACGCGCTGCCCCCCCTTCCTACGCGCTGCTCCCCCTTCCCTACGCGCTGCTCCCCATTCCGTACGCGCTGCTCCCCCTTCCCTACGCGCTGCTCCCCCTTCCCTACGCGCTGCTCCCCCTTCGCCTCGCCTCCCCTCCCACTCATCCCCTCTCCTTCCTTTCCCTCTCGCCTTCTCTCCTTCCTTCCCTCTGTCCATTCTCCGAAGAGTAGGGAGGGGGACTGAAGAGACCTTTCTTCCCTCCCGCTTCACTCGCTCCCCTTGCTCACTCAGTTCCATTGCTTGCTATTGCACGTCACCTTCACGCACACCTTGTCACAAAGGCACTTTCTCACTCACTTCTAATTGTTACCAACATCACTCCTGTCACTTGCTTCCCTCGCCGCCCCCTCCTCCCTTCCCTCTCTCACCCCCCCTCCCTCCTCCAGTCCCTCCCGTCCTTCCCGTCGCGCACGTCCCTCCCGTCGCCCAACGCCTTCCGTCCCGCCCCTCGCTTCAGTCCCTCATTCCCTCCTGTCGTTCTCTTCCCTCCCGCCCCTCCCTTCCCTCTCCGGTTCTCGTCATTTTCTCTCATTCGCTCCGCTCACTCAATCCATCGCGCACTCCCCCCATCGCTCGAACGAACGCACCGTCCACACACTTGCATGTTACATTCACTCCCATTCCGCACACTCACTCCCCTCCTCTCCTCTCCCTTTCCCCGTGTCTTTCCCTCCGTTTCCCCCCTTGTTCCTCTCTCTTTCCTTGTGTCCTTCCCTCCTGCTCCCACCTCCCCCCTCCCTCCCTTACCTCCATCCCTAACTGTTCCTACCCCTCCCTCCTTCTCATCACTCGTTTTTCCCTGTCCCTCTGATCTCCGCCCTTATTCCCACACCCCACCCCTCCCCGTCGCAGTCACATATCACCTTACACCCTCCCTCCTCCCACCTCCCCTCCTCCCACCTTCCTTTGCTCCTACCCTTCCTTCCCTCTGTCCCGCGCACCTCTCTTCCGCCATCTTTCCGCCCTTCTCTCACTGAACCCTCTCCTCCTTTTTCTTCACACTCTTTGCTTTCTTCTCATATCATCTCTCTTCGCTTCCCTGTCCTCTACTCCCTTACCTTCACATCTCTTTCCATCCCACTCCTCTCTTCCATCTGCCCTTTCCTTCTCGCTTGTTCTGACCTCAGGGTTTTCTCAGGTTGCGCCCGATTTACGCCTCACAAAATTGTAGTGCAGCACCACCACTCGCCTTTCGCAGTTGTGAACCGGAAGAGTGATAATGGCCACGAGATGGAATATAACTGACTTGACTTGACACCGTCTCATCTGCTTAGTTTATGTCCCCTCTTTCATTAATTACAGAATAGTGGCACGCATCACTAAATAACGTTACTGCCAGTCAATTGCCCATTTCAAGGCTTTATTTTTCGTTTCCCCTGAATCAATTTTACAAGTTTCTAAATATGTCTCATACGTTCAGACTCTTTTTGTAACAGCATTGTCAACATTCCTGACCCAATCCCTTGATGCATCTCGGCTTCTGGCAAATTGTGGCATTTTTGTCCTTTCTGCAGCCTCCCTCGAATCTTGAACTCCAAAGCTGGGTTGGTTGTACTTCCTGCTTCAACCCTTCGCAACCCTTGTTCTGCGAATTTTACTCTCACCACATTTCGCAAACCTAACTTCAACTTCAGTAAATATGAAAGCTTGCCATTCTAGACTCGGGCTTTAACACGGTCTTGCCAATTCAACATGCGAGGGCATGGTGAAGCTTTCAAATACACGCGCTGAATGTTGAACCACCTGAATGTTGTTGCATATTCAGGTGGCCCATGCTGAAATACACCTACCAGAGTAATTCTGGCTTGGTTCGCGCGCACAGAAGAGTTCGGCGCCTGCGATGACCGCCGCGTCTGCCGACAAATGCTAAAAAAGCGCATGGATCCCTATGGGCGTAGAGAAAAGCGTCGAACGACCTGAATGTCGTTGCATATTCGGGTGGCCCATGCTCAAATACACCCATCAGAGAAATTCCGGCTTGGTTCGCATGCACAGAAAAGTTCGGCGCCTGCGATGACGGCCTCGTTGGCCGACAAATGCTAAGGAAGGGCATGGATCCCTATAGGCGTAGGGAAAAGCGTCGAACGACCTGAATGTCGTTGCATGTTCGGGTGGCCCATGCTGAAATACACCCACTGGAGCACTTCCGGCTTGGTTCACGTACACAGAAAAGTTCGGCGCCTGCGATGACCGCTGCGTCTGCCGACAAATGTTATGGAAGCACATGGATCCCTATGGGCGTAGAGAAAAGCGTGAAACGACCTGAATGTCGTTGCATGTTCGGGTTGCTTATGCTGAAATACACCCACCAGAGCAATTCTGGCTTGTTTCGCGCGCACAAAAAAGGTCGGTGCCTGCGATGACCGCCGCGTCTGTCGACAAATGCTAAGGAAGCCCATGGATCCCTATGGGCGTAGGGAAAAGCGTCGAACGACCTGAATGTCGTTGCGTGTTCGGGTGGCCCATGCTGAAATACACCCCCCAGAGCAACTCTGGCTTGGTTCGCGCGCACAGAAAAGTTCAGCGCCTGCGATGACTGCCGCGTCGGCCGACAAATGATAAGGAAGCGCTCGGATCCCTGTGGGCGTAGGGGAAAGCGTCGAACGACCTGAATGTCGTTGCATATTCTGGTGGCCCATGCTGAAATACACTTACCGAAACAATTGCGGCTTGGTTCGCGCGCAGAGAAAAGTTCGGCGCCTGCGATGACCGCCGCATTTGCCGACAAATGCAAAGAAAGGGCTAGGATCCCTTTAGGCGTAGGAGAAAGCGTCGAACGACCTGAATGTCGTTGCATATTCGGGTGGCCGATGCTGAAATACACCTAACAGAGCAATTCTGGCTTGGTTCGCGCGCACAGAAAAGTTCGGCGCCTGCGATGACGGCCGCGTCTGCCGACAATTGCTAAAGAAGGCGGCCGCGTCTACCGACAATTGCTAAGGAAGCGCATGGATCCCTTTAGGCATAGGGGAAAGCGTCGAACGACCTGAATGTCGTTGCATATTCCGGTGGCCCATGCTCAAATTCACCTACCAATGGAATTTCGACTTGGTTCGCGCGTACAGAAAAGTTCGGCGCCTGCGATGACGGCCGCGTCTGCCGACAAATGCTAAGGAAGCGCATGGATCCCTATGTGCGTAGGGAAAAGCGTCGAACGACCTGAATGTCGTTGCATATTCGGGTGGCCCATACTTAAACACACCCACCAGAGCAATTCCGGCTTGGTTCGCACGCACAAAAAAGTTCGGTGCCTGCGATGATCACCGCGTCTGCCGACAAATGCTAAGGAAACACATGGATCCCTATGGACGTAGGGAAAAGCGTCGAACGACCTGAATGTCGTTGCATGTTCGGGTTGCCTATGCTGAAATACACCCACCAGAGCAATTCTGGCTTGGTTCGCGCGCACAGAAGAGTTCGGCGCCTGCGATAACCGCCGCGTCTGCCGACAAATGCTAAGGAAGCCTATGGATCCCTATGGGCATAGGGAAAAGCGTCGAACGACCTGAATGTCGTTGCATGTTCTGGTGGCCCATGCCGAAACACGCCCACTAGAGCAATTCTGGCTTGGTTCGCGCACACAGAAAAGTTTGGCGCCTGCGTTGACCGCCGCGTCGGCCGATAAATGATAAGGAAGCGCTCGGATCCCTGTGGGCGCAGGGGAAAAGCGTTGAAGGACCTGAATGTTGTTGCATATTCAGGTGGCCCATGCTGAAATACACCTACCAGAGCAATTCCGGCTTGGTTCGCGCGCACATAAAAGTTCGGCGCCTGCGATGACCGCCTCGTATGCCGACAAATGCTAAGGAAGCGCTAGGATCGCTTTAGACGTAGGGAAAAGCGTCGAACGACCTAAATGTCGTTGCATATTCGGGTGGCCCATACTGAGATACACCTACTAGAGCAATTCCGGATTGGTTCGCACGAACACAAAAGTTTGGCGCCTGCGATGATTGCCGCGTCTGCCGACAAATGCTAAGGAAGCGCTCGGATCTCAATGGGCGTAGGGAAAAGCGTCGAACGACCTGAATGTCGTTGCATATTCGGGTGGCACATGCTCAAATACACCTACCACAGCAATTCCGGCTTGGTTCGCGCGCACAGAAAAGTTCTGCGCCTGCGATGACCGCCGCGTCTGCCGACAAATTCTTAGGAAGTGCATGGATCCCTACGGGCGTATTGAAAAGCGTCAAACGACCTGAATGTCGTTGCATATTCAGGTGGCCCATGCTTAAATACACCCACCAGAGTAATTCTTGCTTGGTTCGCGCGCAGAGAAAAGTTCGGCGCATGCGATGACGGCCGCGTCTGCCGACAAATGCTAAGGAAGCGCTCGGATCCCTATAGGCGTAGGGAAAAGCGTCAAACGACCCGAATGTCGTTGCATATTCGGGTGCCATGCTGAAATACACCTACCAAAGCAATTCCGGCTTGGTTCACGCGCACAGAAAAGTTCGGCGCCTGTGATGACCGCCGCGTCAGTCGACAAATGCTAAGGAAGCGCTCGGATCCCAATGGGCGTAGGGAAAAGCGTCGAACGACCTGAATGTCGTTGCATATTCAGATGGTTGATGCTGAATTACACCTACCAGAGCAATTCCGGCTCGGTTCGCGCGCACAGAAAAGTTCGGCGCCTGCGATGACCGCCGCGTCTGCCGACAAATGCTAAGGAAGCACATGGATCCGTATGGGCGTAGAGGAAAGCGTCGAACGACCTGAATGTCGTTGCATGTTCGGGTTGCCCATGCTCAAATGCACCTACCAGAGCAATTCCGGCTCGGTTCGCGCGCACAGAAAAGTTCGGCACCTGCGATGACCGCCTCGTCTGCCGACAAATGCTAAGGAAGCGCATGGATCCCTATGGACGTAGGGAAAAGTGTCGAACGACCTGAAAGTCGTTGCATATACGGGAGGCCCATGCTAAAATGCACATACCAGAGCAATTCCGGCTTGGTTCGCGCGCACAGAAAAGTTCGGTGCCTGCAATGACCGCAGCGTCTGCCGACAAATGCTAAGAAAGCACATGGATCCCTATGGGCGTAGAGGAAAGCGTTGAACGACCTGAATGTCGTTGCATATTCGGGTGGCCATGCTCAAATGCACCTACCAGAGCAATTCTGGCTTGGTTTGCGCGCACAGAAAAGTTCTGCGCCTGCGATGACGGCCGCATCTGCCGAAAAATGCTAAGGAAGCGCATGGATCCCTATGGGCGTAGGGAAAAGCGTCGAACGACCTGAATGTTGTTGCATATTCCGGTGGCCCATGCTCAAATGCACCTACCAAAGCAATTCCGGCTTGGTTCGCGCGCACAGAAAAGTTCTGCGCCTGCGATGATGGCCGCGTTTGCCGACAAATGCTAAGGAATCACATGGATCCCTATGGGCGTAGGGAAAAGCGTCGAACGACCTGAATGTCGTTGCATATTCCAGTGGCTCATGCTCAAATGCAACTACCATAGCAATTCCGGCTTGGTTCGCGAGCATAGAAAAGTTCGGCGCCTGCGATGACCGCCTCGTCTACCGACAAATGCTAAGGGTTCGCACGGATCCCTATGGGCGTAGGGAAACGCGTCGATCGACCTGAATGTCGTTGCATATTCCGGTGGCCCATGCTGAAATGCACCTACCAGAGCAATTCCGGCTTGGTTCGCGTGCACAGAAAAGTTTGGCACCTGCGATGACCGCCGCGTCTGCCGACAAATGCTAAGGAAGCCCACGGACCCTATGGCCGTAGGGAAAAGCGTCAAACGACCTGAATATCGTTGCATGTTCAGGTGGCCCATGCTGAAATACGCCCACCAGAGTTTTTCCGGCTTGGAACTCGAGCACAGAAAAGTTCGGCGCCTGCGATGACCGCCGCGTCTGCCGACAAGTGCTAAGGAAGCCCATGGATCTCTATGGGCGTAGGGAAAAGCGTCGAACGACGTGAATGTCGTTGCATGTTCGGGTGACCCATGTTGAAATACACCCACCAAAGC